GGCCTCTCTAAAATCAGTAACAGCATTTCGGCGAATACAAAAAGCTATAAAATAGAAAAATGAAACTGAAAAGCAAGACAAACGATGAGCTTTCAGAAAAGCTCTGGTCACTGAAACCTGAAAGCAAAAGTAAGTCCTTAGTAGCTAGGTGGATGACAAAAGTTCCAGGACTCTACAGTATGCAACACTGGACTGGATAAATAACTTTTTATAATGTGCTCCATTTATGTAAGGATCAAAAGAATCCCACAACCCTGCTCTGAAAAGCATTGTTCATATGCAATTCCCAGAATACTATTAATATCTACTTGTGCTGTCTAATTTTATTTCAAAATTTTAAGTCTGAGATTCCAAGGAAGTCCTACCCAGGGACCAATACATATAAAAAGAGAAAACACCTCTGAGCAAGGACTGTTTCCAATCACCCACTAAATAAAAAAAGAGATTACTCGGCCTGCATCAACACACAGCCACAGCCCGTGGACAGTGCTTATCCCGAGCTAAACCCCCCTGCAATTTAATGCAGACATCAATTTATTACCTAGCTGTGTTTGATTTTTATATTCCTTACTTTTTATTATGCCAGGAGCCGGGCCAGCAAAAGATAAAGTAAGTACAGCAAAAATCTAACAACTGCCTCTGTAATTTCATCTCTGGGCTCCTTTTATGAGTAACTGCATGCCCCATTTTGATCTCCAAGTAATGTCACAGGAATATAAGACCTAACGAATTGTCCTCCCCGCGCACACACACACACACACACTCACATCCTACGCTACACCTTGACAAAACGCAGAATTAGTTCATTACTGGTCCTAATAGAGATCATTACCTCGGCCATCATCTCCGAGGGGCTGCCAATCAGCAGGTCCAAGGCAAGATAGAGACGACTCTAAATGTGATATCCACTTTGCCCCCATTTTAGTCCCTTTCTTCAGAAAATTGGTCTGCTCCAAAAGAAAGGGGAGAAAACATGGACCGGCCCTCTGAGGAAAGGTCTCACAAGGCCTGGGATTTGCTGACATGTGGGGAGTTGTGATGTTATGAGAACAGCCCTGATGACAGCAGAACTATCCCACTCTGCTCCTAGGATGTCCAGAACAATCTAGGGGATAATGATAAACTTCATATGTGAGGGGAGAGGGCCCCGGCTGACGCACCGAGCTGCCAGGCACATGAAAGAAACAATATAAACTTGATTTAAATGTGGGATCCCTTCCAGAAGGCTTAATTATCTATTGTATTACCACATTCCCGTTATTCAGCAGCCTCTTCTGTCTCCAGCCACAGTCCAACTACAGTATTTGTTTGGAACAAATTCAGGGAAATCTCCAAACTACCCAGATCACAGAGGACTCAGTTAAATAGGGAACAACAGTTATATAAATAGAAGTCCCCCAGGCTGGAAAATATTTTGGTTGTCTGCTAACTTTCAGGAATACTAAAAACCTTTGAATCCAGTTTTTAAACACCCATACCTAGAGGATCCTCCTGTTTTACATCACTTGGTACAGCTTCGGCAGTACCATAAGCATATCGCCCCACCTAACGAGTTATTTTTCTCTGATGACTTGTCATGCACCAAAAGACCACCTCCAGCTCTTAATTCCTATGGACATTCATAAATCAGCGTTCTGCACTCCGCCTTAAATGCTTATTTGTTTTGGATGATCAGAAGATAAATTACTCCTGAGGGTGTCATAGTGTACGAGACAAATATTTAACAAAACATCCTGAAGTCTTAAACAAATGGCTGTGTCTCAGATGCCACTGTCAATTCCATTTTTTTTAATTAGACAAATTTGGTGTTTGACACCAAGAAGGTGAAGCCACTAGCTGATGGAGTAGAATTTTCACCTTTTAGCTGGCCACCTGACACCATGAATAGGCAGCTAATAATTCAAATGCAAAACTGCCCACAGCCTGAAAAAGCACATATAAATGGCTAAAGCAAATACAATAAACTCCCCGTGTTAATATTACGTTTTATGTGTATGACCGTCCCTGGAGACTGCACATTGGCTATACATTCTTTGATCTTAACATGAAGGAATAGCATTTACACTTGGCGAATTTGGAAAGCAGGGCACACCAGCCCCGAATCTTCATGATGTGCTTCCTCATTTACCCCCACGCTGTCCCACTGCCTCAACTCCACCTCAGCTCCACTTGCCTCGCCTGGGCCTCAGATTTTAAAAAGACCCACTCAAAAGGGCAAAATTATTCTTAAATGATCAATTCGTTAAAGAGGAAACGTGCTGTGCCTGTCTCACGGTGATTATCTGCAGCTGAATTGACCCTCTGGAGGATAAAGATCTGGTCATTCAGGAGAGCTTCTGGGCAACACCTAGTCCTGCCCTTAGAGGATGCTTCTAAGAAATGCTCGATAGTTGGGAGAATACAGAAAGGCAATAGGGCCGGGGTACAAGCCCCCTGAAGGCAGCTGGGACTCGGTCTCACATCCTCTCATCCCACAGCCCAATGCCTTGCCTCGAGAAGCTTGGTAACAGCTGGCTGATTAAAGGAATCTGTCTTGAGCCTAATTTTGAAACAAACCAACCCAGCAACCACCATGCATGCTAATGCCGTTAAGACGATCAGATGTATTAAAACCCCATTTTGTTTTGAAGAAGGCTGGGATTGGGATGGAGAACGGAAGAGAAACTAGGAATAAAAGTCATCCTTTAAAAAAAAGAGAGAGAGAGAGATAGAGAGAGGCCGGGCACAGACCCGTGGTGATAGTGTGCATTGAGCTAACGAGTGCAAACAACTCCATTTTTTACACATGTGTTTCCGAAATAGACGTTAAAATTAAAACGAAAACCCCTCATTGTAACATCAACACCTCTCTGAACAATGCAGCTCATGCTCCTCTACAAAATCTTTTTGGTTCTGGCCAACAGCTGGCAAGTTGATCCCTGCAATTTTCCCTTTGCAGAAATAGCTGTGAGAGAGGAGAACTGACCCTAGTAGGCTAATAAGCCCAAACTGCGCCAAACCTGGGAGGCTGAAATGGAGGGGACATTGTTGTGTTAAGTACTTTACAACAACTGTTTCTTCCCCTCTTGACACAGCCTGACTTCCTTAAAGAAGATCTGACTGGCCAGACAGCTGTGTTGACCCTTAAGCCTTCTTTGATTCGCAATTTTTTTTTTAACAAACAGAATAGAAATTCACAACCCAAATCCTTTCCTAAGCTCCAATACTTTTGAATTCGCTAGTGTTGTGCCTGAAGGATGTGGACATTTCAGTAATCTATAAGCAGAAAGATAAAGATTGGGTCTACACAATCCCAAAACCTTCAGATGAAAAGCAGGAGAGGGCGGGTGGGGGGAGGAGGGGGGAAGCAAGAGCAATCCACCAGAAGCTTTATCCAAAGGTGATACTTGAAGTTCTGTGGGCGAAATCTGCTTAATTCCCTAAAAATTGCACTTTTCACTCAGACACTGTGGCAACAAACAGACAACCAAGAACGGATACAGGCATGTCTTCTTTAAAAAATGTTAACCATAATTACCACTTTGTAAAGTGGTCATGTGTTTTCATTTCTTTATACGTTTCTGTATTGTCCAACTCATCCAAAACCAAACATGGATTCTTTTTTAGGGCTAAAGATGCAAAGTTATCTTTTCAAAACCAGCATCCAGGCCCAGGACCCCTTCCACAGGAGGGCAAAGCTCAAGTACATGGTGGGCAAAGGAGCCCTGTGCAGCCAAAAAAAAGATTGTGTGCGTGTGTGTGGTCACTGGGTATGAGCTTCGCCAGCTTTCAGTAACCCTCATAGCCCAGGCAACACGGAAAGGAAGACACTTCTGGTTTTTCTCAGCGTTTTTTGTTGATGTTCTTGCTACAAGGAGACTTCCACACACACACACCTTGGCTGTGCTTTTAATACGGTGATAGGAGCTGCTTTTCGTGCACACTGCCCCTCCTTCGATTATCCTCACCTACTGCTGTCTTATTCACCAGTAACACATGCAGAATTCTGCGCGCGCACGCGCGGCCCCTTGGCCATACACACCAGTCCTCGTGTGCAAAAACAAAACAAAACAAAAAAAACATAGGCCTGCGTTCCGCCGCTTTTTCCTCCAAACCGTGCGTGATCAGCTTTGGGAAGCCAGTGTCCCCGTGAACTAGCCGCTCTTGCAAGGAAAAGCAGTTCCCCTTCTCCATGGACCCACTAAGCAACTCCGGGCCTGCCTGGTGAGAACCAGGAAATCCTTCTAACTCCCACTCCCGGCCGCATCCAGGCTTTAAGGCATTACAGAAATCGAAATTCCAAATAATCTACTTGCTTAAATACCTGCCAACTAATTCTCAGAACACCCCAGAACGTTCACGTCGGCTGGAGAGAAGTGAATCCGGTGCGGGGCTGCGGTGCACACCCCCACGGGGGATTCGGGGGAGGGGAGGCGTGCAAGGGAGGAGGGGGCCTCAGACCAGGCCGAGCTTCTGGCCTAAGAGCCCCTGCGCCCCCAGGGTTTTGGAGACTCTGGGCGGAGGAGGAGGGGTCCTGGGCATCATGGAGAGCAAAGGCAAACGGGGTGTGCGCAGAGCGCAGAGGAAGCAGCATTGCTGAGCACCAGCTGTCGGGACGGGACGCCCGTGGACAGATGCGCACAGGGGACCGGCCGCGCCGGAGGCCGCGGGAGCTGAAGCCGCACGGCTTGCTCCCATCCCAGCGCGCGGGGGGCGCAGACACGTGGGTGCGACGGCGTGGACGCCCCCCAGGAGACCTGGCCGCTGGCAGCCCACGGGGCACCCCAGAGAAGGGGAGCGGCGGGAATGAGCCGGATGGGTCGGAGCGCGCACAGAGGTGTGTCCCCCGGGATCAGCCGAGTCGGGGAGGGTGCCTGGGAGGACGGCGGGGCCGCCCGGGGAGGGCCCAGCGCGCGCGTCTCTGCGGCCCCGGGGAGCGCACTGCCTGCGGGTGAACGCGCCTCGGGCGCCTCTGGGTGCGCGGGTGCGGGGGGGCGCGCTCCGGCGGCGCGATCACTTACTTCTCGTAGTCGTACTTGCAGTAGAGCTTCTTGTCCCGGTAGAAGCAGGTGGTCTCCAGGGGCTCTTTGCAGGAGGCGCACTGCACGCACTGCTCGTGCCAGAAGCTGTCGTTGAGCCGCAGCAGAAACCTGTCCGAGATGACCCGTTGACAGCCCTCGCAGACAGACTTGGGGCTCACCGCTCTGCCTGCAGCAGCAACAGACGTTCGCGGGTCAACCGCGCCGGCTCAGCATCCCGGCCACACTCCGATCAATCCTACACCCGCCGATTCCCCGCCCCCCCCCCCTGCAACCCGCGCTCCCCATCCTGGGAAAACCCCCATCCCTGCTAATCAACCAAACCGAGTTCTTGAAAACAGAGAAAAATCAAACCAGGTGTTGTTTCTAATAAAACAGCGACTCTATGGGAAAGTTCAAATTCTTCTATATGGGAAGGGGCGGAAATCAATAAGCGGCCTTAATGATCCAACCTACCCAGGTATTCGTGCAAAGGAGCGCACATCCCGTACAATTAGACTACAAATAAATTTGCGCTCCCACCTTTATCAACTAAGCATTAAGTCACTCACCCTGCTTGTCTCTTTTAATATTAAATTTGTGAGTCTATAAAAAGAATTTTGGAGGATTGGTCTTGTCTTTTTGCTAAAATTGCAATTTCTGTTGTATTTTCTGAGGGAAAGCTTTAAAATTTTTATTTTCTTCCTAAAAAGTCTCAGGCATACAGAAAAATACCGCCTGGCTCCAGGCAAACTCAGTACTGTGGGAAAAAAAAGCAATGAACACCCAAAGTGCTGTGCCTTGGCCGGAGTACAAATTGCAGGTGGGTTTAAACGTAGGATTTTATGTGTGTTTTTGTACGTACACATATAAATAATTAAGACGCATCAAAATAGAAGAGGAAAAAAAAAGAGGAAAGAAGCAGGGCGCGGAGATGCTGCGGGAATTCCGGGAATCCGACCGGCTCAGCTGCAGCGCGTGCGATTTTGCACCCACCCCAAACCCACTCCGCGGAAAGAGGGAATCCTCTCTACCCTACCCTTTGGACTTTTGTCTGTTTTGTTCCTCTATTTTGTGTGTGTGGGGGGGATGCCCTATTTTTAGGATGGGGGAACACTTGGCTGCTTTTGTCGGCACATTTCACAGCTATTTAAAGAAGGCCTTGTCCCCTGATAACAATACTCTTGCGCGTGGTGTCCCAAAGGGCCTGACCCTTCCCCATTTCCTCGCCACACTCTTGTGGGTTTCTTTTTCCCCCCTGGGAGATCCTGCCACCAGCTCTTGAGTGGAGCCTGTCGCCTTGGGGCGCGCAGGGGAGGGCTCAGAAAAGTAGAAAAGATAGTTCTCAGTTGTAAAATTGTCCTGTCTCGGCATTCAGGGCCGGGACCCGGGCGGTGGGAGCCGCGGAGCGCACACTGGGAGCCGCTGTGGGCACAAGGTCGCGCGCGCTCCGTGCCAGGGCAATGCCAGCTGCGGAGGGGGACCCCCCCCCCACGCTCTTCCGACGCTGGACGGAGTCGAGAAGTTTCCGCAAACCCGGTTGAAAGGAGGGAACGCAGTGCGCCCGGGATTTCGTTTCAGCTGGGGATGGTGGGGGGGTCCTCCCTGGATGTGGTTTCTCCAGCCGAACCGTCTCCAGTCTCATCACCATCACCTCCCGGCTCTAGCGGTTCCGAATGCCGGGAGGAGGCAAGAGGTTTAAATGACAAAACGAAAACCCCTCCCGCTAAAATAGTAAAACACCCGAGAAGCACCCAGGTCGGGGTGGGAGGTGAGGTTGCGAATTCCTGGCCTCAGGTCAGCAGGACCCGCGCGCATGGACGCCCTTCGAGGCCCTTGGCTCGCGGATCCTCCGCGGTCGCTGCAGAAGGATCGGGGAGGCAGGGGGGGGACCCGCCGGCCTCGAGGTCCGGCTCCAGTTAATTAAAACCGAGGCGAGGGCCCTGCCGCGCGGGCTAATCCCCGCGCTGCGCTGCCCACCGGCCCGGAAAAGCCCTTCGGCCGTGCCGGAGGCTGAGACCCGGGCTGGAGCTGGTGGGGGCGGGGGGGGGGCGAGAAGCCGCCTCGAACTTGGGCGCCTGCGAGCCTCGGCTGCCCCGCGCTCGCCCCTAGGCCGCGGAGAAGCGGGCGGCACTTGCGACGCGTCCATCAGCTCCGTGATTAAAAATCCAGCCCTGGGTATTTTTAATCACTTGCCACTCAGACGCCCGCGAGCCGTCTCGCCCGCCCCTCGCGGCTTCGGGGAATTCGGTGCCCGGCGCGGGAGGCCTTGGGGCGGCTTGGGGTAGGAAGGACACACGGGGACTGATGGACAGACGGCGCGTGGGCTCCACTGGGCGCCAGACGCGGGGCGCGCGGGGCGCGCGGGGTCCCTTTCCTGCTGACCGGTCCCGGCGAGCCGGGCTGCAGGGCTGGGGTCCGGTGCAAAGAGGGTGCGCCCCGGGGCGCGCGGCCTGAACACTCACCCAGCAGCGACGAGAAGGACGCCGAAGTCTCGATGGCGCTTTGAAAGTTCTCCTCCATCTTCAGGCCGTCCAGCATGTTCGGGCCGGGCCGGGAGGACCTGCGGAGGAGAGGAAACGCTGCTTCTGGGGTCCGTGCGCTCGGGGACCGGGAGCCCGGGGCCGCCGCACTCCTGGGAAAGCACGGAGGGAGTGCCCGGGGTCACCAGGATGAGTCCAGCCCAGAGCAACGTGGGGTGGGAGCGGAGAGGCGAGTCACCGCGAACTGCTGAGTGATCTGATTTCACTTGAAGTCAACGCGTTTTGTACTGAGACCTCCGCCCCCCAACTGCGCTTCCCCTTCCCTGCCCCCCCCTGCCCCCGCGCACACCCTCGCCCGCTCCCCAGCCCCGGGTTCCCCATCCCGAGTCCGACTCCGCCCCGACCTGCACCCCTGCGGGCCCTAGGGACGGCTCCGCGGGGACCCAGCGCCGCGGGGAGGCCGGGACCGAGGGGTGGGTGTTCCCCCCTCGCGCCCCTCACCTGCCGGGGCCCGGGCGGGGCCGGGAGAGCGAGCCGGAGCGCGCCCGCCTGCTCGCGGGGCCCGGGCGCCGAGAGCCGCTGGGGGCGCGCGGGGCGGTCCTCCCGCCGGCCGGCCGGTGCCGGGAACGTCTGCGGGAGCGGGGAAGTCGCCTCGGGGAGGAGCCGCGGCTGGCCCTGCTCACTCCTGGACGCATTTCAAATCAACTTTCCGAAACACGCCGCCCGAGCCGGAGCCGGAGCCCTGCGGCGCGCAGCCGTCCTTACCTGGTGGGCGAGCTCGCTCCCCGCGGCCGGGCGGGAGGCGGCGGCCGGGGCCGGCGGAGGCCCTCGGGGCTGCAGGCGGCGCGGCGGGGAGGGAGCCCGAGCGAGCGCCGGCCCCTGGCTCCGCTCCTCGGCGCGCCCGGGCCGGGCCGGGACGTGGCCGCGGGCGGCCGGCCTTCTCGGGGCGTGCTGGCCGCCCGCGTCGCGGCTGGGGGGCGGCGGGGAGGCCCGGGGCTCTCCGGGGCCGGGAGCGAGGGCGGAGGCCCGGGGTCGTGGGTGCGAGTCGGGCCCTGCGGCGCCGGGGCGGATCCGGCCGCAGCTCACAGGGGCCGCGGCGCTGCGCGCGGCGGAGGGAAGGGGTGGGGTGCGCGGGGAGGCGGGCTGGGAGCGCGCCCCTGGAGCGGCCGCCGGGCTCCCTTCCCCGGCCCGGCTCGCCGCGGCCGCCTCGCAGCCGCGCAAAGTTTCCCCCCCTCCACGTGCGGGGGCTCCCTCGGGGCTCCCTCGGGGCTCCCTCGGGGCGCCCCCGGCTCCCCCGGCTCCCCGGCAGCTCTCCACCGCCGCGGGCGCTCCGGCACCGCGGCCCTCCCCGCGCGACCTCGGAAGCCTGGGGGAGCTGCCGGAGGTGTGTGATGGCCTGCGGGGGGCGGTGGGGGGGGGCGCCCACACCCCCGAGCCCCCCAGTCCCCCTGCTCCTGCAGCCGGGGCTCCTGCAAAGTTCCCAACTTCCCCTGAGCTCCAAACGCGCCGGCCGGCTCAGATGGAACCCCGTCCGCGGATGGGGTGTGCGGCTGCCTTAGGAGCCGCGGCCCGAAGCTCCAATGGGGGCTCTCGGGGGCAGAGACGAGGTGGGATGGGACCCCCCAGACTCGAGCCCGCAGTGCCTCTGAGCAGGAAGTCAGCTAAGGGGGCGCACTTAGGGGAGCAGAGTACTGGGGCGGGGGGGGGGGGGGGAGAAGGGAGATCTCAACTCCCTACACCTCCTAACCTCAGCTTACAGCGGTCGGACCTCGAGCCCCTCCAGGAGCGCGACGCGGGTCTTAATCATCTGTGTAGTCCAGGAGGTGAGCACGGTGCCCGGACCCAAGGGGATGCTCAATAAATAGATCCTAACATTTATCGAACATTTTATTACGTGCCAGGCTTGGTTACACAGTTAACTCGTTTAATCTTTACAGCAACCCTATGAGGTGGAGACAATGATTATCCTGATATTACAGGTGAGGAAAACCGAGTGAGCACCACGGGAGGGGTCAGTTGGGCCGGCTTCTCTGGGGGCCCCTCAACTCCTGAGCTGCAGGGAACTGACTTGGAATGGCCAGGAACTTTGGCACAGTGATCCTGAGCAGGCGAGATGCCACATAGCGAGCACTTTCTTCCCTTCTCCAAGGACAGGACCACTTCCTTATTTAAAAAAAAAAAAAAAGTGTTGGCAGCTGTGGCTCAAGAGTGCTCCGGGGGCCTTGACCCCACTCACCATTAGAAGCGCTTTCTGCCAGCAGGCACAAGCCAAACACAGAATATGACTTCAGGGAAACGAGAGAAAAGGGCAAAGAGTTTAATACTTTACATTTGAGTGCCGGTTTATACTTTCCAGGATACTTTCACATACATGATTTCGCTTGATCTTTACGACAAACCTGTGAGGTAGACAGAACAAATAGTTTTATCCATTGTTTCAGATGAATCTTTGGGGCTTAAGTAGGGCTGGGAGGTTTCTCTGTGTGGCCCAGACGGCTAGTGGCATGTCCCCTGACACCTGTCCTTTGTCCTTTCTGCCACCCCAGGTAGAGTGTGGAGGGGAAATATGAATTACAAAAGTATTCTTAGGATAATATATAAAATAGAAGTCAGGCAAGAAAAAAAAACAAAAGTAAAGCAAATACCATCATAAGGAATATTTTTAAATGCCCAACAGAGTTTTGGTTTCACTAGAGGTCTTGAATGTATGAAATATGGTTAACTAGTGGTCAGAGTATTCCCTGTAGAGAATACCCTGGAAGTGGATGGGTTCTCATCTGATCTGGGACCCAGGCCCCTCGAAATGGTCTTTGCTTCTGGAAGGCAGGCTGATTAGCAGAGATCACTCACAAGTGTTTGCTAGGAATGTCTTTCCCCCAGCTGGCTCTTGGGCACCTTCACGATGGAGACAGTCTCATAATCATATTCTAAGCCGTGGGGTCCTTAGTGCAGAGCCAGGCTCATATATGTGATTAACAAATGCCACTTACTTAACTGATGGTTGAGCACTGTGTTCACAGTAGGGATGGGGGGAGCACTCTAGTACAGGTGAAAGCACATGGCAGGGTCAGGAATCCAAGGACCTCACTTCCCCGGACGGCTCTGCCACTGAGTCAGGTAGGCCAGGTTCACCTTTCTGGGCAACTGTACTTCTCTGCGATGAAGGGTTATACTCACCCAATGGTCCCACAGGCCTTTCCGGCCTGCAGGCTGTGAAACAATGGGGTGAGCATTAGAACCCACAGCACATCACCCGCTTTGCAGAACTGGTCCAGGTGCAGAGGCTGATGGGGCTAAGTGACGTGTCCAAACCATTAAAGAGACACTTTGTTCCTTCGGGGTTTTTTCTTTTATGCTTTATTTTCTCTCTCTAGATGGACTGGGGATCATGAATCCCACTCCTCCCCCAATGTCATTTCACTTTGACCTGAGCCAGCTCCATGACATCGTGGGCAGGTAGACAGACATCTTTCCATCTGTGGAAGAGTCTCCTAATCATGCCACATGGTCGTTCGTTTTAGAGTCAATGCTATCGTTTCACTTTTTAAAGACAGAAGATGCCACAAAGCCACTGTCCAAAAGCTCTTCATGACGATGTAGCCATATTCTCCCTTTTATCAGAAACACTGTTTTCTGAGAGTTTGTGGAAGTGAGGTAGACAGGCTTTAGGAGAGACACCCCCAAATTATTGACTTTTAGAGGTGGGAGCAAACATACAGCTCCTCTGGCCCAAGTGTTAGGTTTATATTGGGTCAAAATTCATTTCCCTGGCACTGCCACATCTGGTCCATTGATTGCTCAGGGCTGGTCATTCGAAATGTCAAATCCTACTTCCAAGATCTGTCAGATGTGGGCAGAGCTGCCCTCTCTGTTCTGTTCCCTTTGTTTCTGAACCTGCTCCAGTTTTTCCCTCTCCCCCCTAAATTATGGCACCCAGACCTGTTGCAGCTTCCCAATGACCATGTGTTCAGGACCTCATCTCCTCTTTCTGGCCAGAGAACACCCATTAACATGGCCCGATTTGGGGTTAGCGTTTTCGGTGGCTGCCGCTGACTCATCCCGTGTATGTTATTAACCAACCCTCCTCTGTCCTTTTCCACATGGGCTGCTGGTAGGCCACATCTCCCCCGAAACTGCAATCGTACAATTGGTGTTTGGCCCCTGGTGTGGAAACTCAACATTTATCCCTGCTAAGAGATAGGCAGCTGTTCCAAACATCAGGAATCTTGCAACTTCAAGCAGATTCCAAGAGATCCAGGGACTACATCTTAAGCCTAGTACTTTGCTTTGAGGAGGAAACAGAGGGCCCTTGCCAGGCTGGTCTGGAAGCTGCCATCATTGGAGGAAGACAGGCCAGGGTAGTGAATGGGGGGGCCTCAAGAGGGTGCACAGGGTCCCTGTAACCTGCCCATACCTCTTCACCTGGGAGATGCCTCTGGTCCTCTTCCTGTCACCTGTCCTCTGTCAAGTAGCAATCTGTGGAACCAGCCGGGGAGCTACCCCTTCTATGGCAGAGAACACAGAAGCTCCACCACCAGACTCATGAACGCTTGTGGCTGAGATCTGGGGAGAGAGTGAGGACGGGGTAAGCAGAGGCCCTCGCGCGGTGGGAGGGAGACAGCAAGGGAGGGAGGACATCCTGTTACAGAGTGGAGATGACAGGAACATGTTTTTTTACTTTCCTTTTCTTGCTCTCATTTCTGTGTTTTATTAAGGGAAACACAAAGGGAAAATTGTGTTATTTGTTAAAAAAATGTCAAAGTGCGTTTCCAGCGAGAGGAAAAAAAGCAGACACGTTACTGCCTAGACAGAGAAGGCCGTACTCTGGTGGGGCGGCCAGAGACCAGTGTGGTGGGGGGCACTGGAGCTGCAAACTCTCCTGACCTCTGAAATCTCTCCCCAGCAGTGGGCCTGCACTCACGTGCAGATCTCTCAAAGGAGCTGGAGCACCGGGTGCTTCAGGTGCTTTGGGTCTTTCTGGGGGTGAAAGGGGGCCATCCCAAACCAGCTGCTGGAATGGGCGGGGGGTGGGGTGGGGTGGGGAGGCGGTCAGCTAACAAAGGCACCATTTACAGCACCGAATTCTTTGGATCTTGTCTAGAATCATCTGCATGGCCCACTCCATCTCCCCTTTGGACCGTGTGCTCCTTCAGAGAAGCCATGTCACACTCATCTGCGTTTCTCCTGCTCCCAGCACGGTCCTCTCCCTAACCAGAGCCCCGGCGAGTATTTGTTACCTAGACAGAGAGTGCCCTTCAGCATGAGCCTGTTTCATGGCATAACTGGGTGTCCTAGAAACAGCATGCCTGGCTTTGGAACCATGGAGGCCTGAGTTCAAATCCCAGCTGGGACATGTATCAACTGTTCAAACTTCAATCAGTCAACTCCTCCATGTTCCAGCATCCTTCTCTGTATAAGGAAAAGAATAAAATACTCCTCAAGAGTTCAGAGAAGAGATGGATGTGAAACATCTCATAAGCTGTCTGGTTCATTTAACATTCAAATATCCTTTATTTATTTTTTTATTGGAGTTCAATTTGCCAACATATAGCATATCACCCAGTGCTCATCCTGTCAAGTGCCCCCCTCAGTGCCCGTCACCTTTATGTCCTCATGTAGCCTCCTGGGGAACAAGCAGACATAACTTCTGAAGGAAAAATCACCTGGGCTTCGCCATGTTCTCATGAGCAAACAGGAGCCACGCCAGCATTCAGACAGAGTCCATGTGTTTAGCCATAGCACCTGTCTTGCCCCACCTTCCATAGCTGAGGTGCCTCTGTGCCCCAGAGAGGCTGCGCCCTCTGACTTGGAGGGTGGCATAGTAGGGCAGTGAGAGGATGGGGCCTGGGGTCACACAGACCTGGGACTGATCATCGACTCTATCCCGTAAGACCGTCTTGGGCAAGTTCCTTAATCCTTCCAAGCCTCAGTTTTCCCTTTTATTAAATCGAGGGAATAATTGGGGGTGAATTTGTGTGCGTTCCGTGAAATAATACAAAATACCTAGCACGGAAATAGGCACGTTAGTAAGAGTTAAGTGGATTTTACCTGCTGTCACCATTGTCATCATCATGAGACAGTAAGCACCTCTAGGACCATTTTACTTATACGTGTGGCCCTAGTACCTAGCATCTGAGTACAGTTGTCCTGAGAACGCACCATAAATTAAACAGCCTGAAGACCGTTTTTGGCATCAAGTGAGGTTCGGGTGGAATCTGGCTCTTGATGCCACCCCACCCCCGACCTGAGCAGAGATTTCTTTTGGAAAAATCCCACATGATCCATAACAGGTCCCCAGATTGCAGGCTTCCTGCACAAGCTTCTCACTTGTGGGATCTCACAAGCCCTATCTTTGACATCTACATGTGATACTTCACACTAAATATCAAGAACTTGGAAATGATGAGAAGGGGGGAGGCACACAAGCAGTGAACTCCCCAGGCACCAAAACAGAGAGAGATCTGTGAAGACATGAGGTCTGTTAAAATCCTGGGCCTGGTTCCCCGATTCACGTGCCCAGCATACCTCAGTTGCTATGAAGTGAATGTGTCGGTGGATTAGGCAAACGTCCCTGAACACCACGCCTGGTGGAACAGTTGGAGGCCTGATTAAAGCCTTCTGCAGCACTGGGGTCTCCAGAGCTGGGGTACAGCCTCTCCGAATGTGGCCCACGGGCAGGCACCGCCCAGCGCAGAGGCAGCTCTGTGCTGAGCAGGTGCAGAGACCACCTCCACCAACCCAGTAGCAAGACCCTAGCTATGTACAGGTATTTTCAAGAAGGAGGGGTCCCCACCTGCGTCTCCACTCTCCAAGTACATTAAACCCGAGTGGCCGCTGAGAGAACACTGAGGGGACCCTTAACCCCTGCATCTCCCCACTCTCACTTTTTCCAATGGATAAGCCATGTTTATCCAAATGCTAACTGATTTACATCCCACACCCTGCCGAGTTTCTAAAAAGGATTTGAGGTGACATACAAATATTATCAATACTGTAAT